CGTTTTCTGAAAGTCTGTTTTTCCTTGATTTCTTAAGAGCTCGGTTTGTGTGCCCTTGGACGAATTCACTGGTATTTGCAGGGTTTCGTAGCTTTTTCCGGATTGAGCTATTTTGGTCAAAAACGCGTTTTTGGATTTTTACGGATTTTCACAAGTTTTGATAGCTTTTTTTTCTGTTTGGTGGGGGTGGGGTGGGCGGGGTGGGGGGGGTTAATTACGCCCATAAGGACTTCAGGCATGGGAAATTAGAAAGGATTTTAGGCACAGCAAGCTCCGAAGGAAAACCTTTCTGGAACATGTCTTATTTAGATTAGAAACTTTCAGTAATTACGCCCATAAGGACTTGAGGCATGGGAAGCTAGAAAGGATTTCAAGCACAGCAAGCTCCGAAAGAAAACCTTTCGCACCTTCGCCAACTCTAGTCCTTGACATGTACTGGAACATGCATTATTTAGATTTGAACCCCTCAGTAATTACGTCCACAAGGACTTGAGGCATGGGAAGTTAGCAAGGTTTGAGGCACAGCAAGCTCCGAAAAAGATAGCTTACACACCCTTGCAACCTTAGGTTAACAGGAAGGCACAAATGATACTTAGCCTATACTATTGAGGATTGTAAGGGCAGCAAGAACACGCAATAATACTTGGCCTACGTTATTGAAGGTTACAGGGGAGGGCTTTGAGATAGCAAGGATGGCTAAGCATACTTTACCTATAGGATTGAAAGTTTTCAGTGTAACAAGGCAATAATACTTGGCCTACGTTATTGAAGGTTACATGGGAGGGCTTAGTCGTGACATGATAGGAACTCACCAGCCGCTGTCAACAATCATGCAGCCATGCAGTGCGGTATCAATATTGGGAGTTTCCCAAAATTAGGGGTATCATCTTGGGCATTTCTATCATACGGACTGTAGTACTATAGTATATGGGGGTCTACATTATTGGGTTCCGCCTGTTTTGGGAAACTACAATTTCGAGGTATCTAAGGCATTGGAAACGATTGCTTCAGGGTTTAGGGTTTTGGGTTTCACTGTCGACCTGTGTCATGCACAAGTGGTCACCAGCAGTAGTCAAAGGACGCAAGACAGCAATCATCATGCTAGCGCACTTGACCACATTTTCTATGACCCATAACGCAAACAATAAAGCTCTGTCGTAATTATGTCATTGCTATGAACTATTATGAACGGAACAAACATCTTAGAAATGACAGTACTCATGCTAAACTAATGAAGGGGACTGCATCTGGGTCGCAAAGCTAATGCCATGCTGTGGGGCATTGGCTCGCTACGTGCAATGCGGTGTCCATATTTGAGGTTTGTCAAAATCAAAGGTGTCATCTTCGGGATTTCTATAATGAGGACTGTAGTACTATAGCATATTCGGGTCTACATTGTTGGGTCCCACTTATTTTGGGAAACTACCATTTCGAGATATCTAAGGCATTGGTTGAGGGTTTAGGGCTTTGGGTTTCCAGTTTAAAGGTGGAGTACCTGGAAGTCACCAACAATGTGGCGACCCCTTTTGCGAGTCCATATAGCAAAGATTACAGAAACCACGCTTTACTTGTTTTTCCTCACGCAGCCGCCGACCGAATAGCATTTCGCTTATACTTAAAAATTCAGATTTCAAAAACGCATTTTTTGCAAAATTGCGCTGTTGCAAAAATGCTGTGTTTTACAATACTTTCTGCTTCGCTGCCATGTGCGATTGTGTCTGAAATGCATGTTTTGAAAAAAAGCACGCGGAGCCCGAAACACTGCGCAGGACAGTGTTTTTGTGTCTTCCCATCATAATTTTGCGAAAAAACCCGAAAAATCCTGACTCCGAACTTTGCACCTTCTTCAAGTTAGCACCCTTCCGAAGTACTGTGTTTTGCAGTATTTTCTTGCTTCTCCGGTTACGGGGCAGCCAGAATAACGGGTCGTCAAATACNNNCTACTACTACTACTACTAGTATGCCCAGAGCCCTGAACCTTGCCAGGCACCACCGCATGCGTTGTCGGTGCGCTGCTTGGTGCGCGTGATGGTGCTCGCGGGATACCGGCGCCTGCGGCTGCAGATAGCATGCCGGATCCAGAAGAGGTATGCTGTACATGTTCTACAGACACAGTTATAGCTAGCTTTGTGTCTACATCTCATCGCCATGAGATCATGTTTTTCTGTTTATAGGATGCGATTTGCGTCCTTCCAGCAATGACTGCATGCCCGTCGGATTCTTATACTCCTTCAAACCCTGAACCAGGAGTCCACCAAGTCCTCAATCCTTCTGCGTGAGTTCTTTGAACCCTGAATCCCCAAGACCGCCACCCGTGAGAGCTAAATTGTCTTTGCTGAAGCCCAGCATCTTCCCTGAATGCTAAACTTCAAACGCGATGAAACCCTCAAGCCTAAACCCTGCAAGCCCACAACTGTAATAAATAGATATGTATCTATACACCTCTCTCTCTCTTCCTGTAACCCCGCCTTAAACCCTAAACCCT